TTCGCTCGGCTGCATTTGCATTCCTCTCTCGAAAGAGGAATGCAGTGTAGACATACCCTGAGTGACAAGCACCATTATTGTCTCTACATTGTCCGCATTGTCTCCTGCTGGTCCATCTGCCACATGTTCCTGCCTTGGTTGGACTTGTGATGCTGGAGAACTTCACCTCTGTAAATGTCTGATGGAGGAGGTTATGTGCCCACCTGCACAATCAGAACTGAGACCAGCAGATCTGCTGAAGCTGCACCTGTCTCCTCAGGTGAGCACCTCACCCGCTCCTCCGTCTTCCAGTGAGTGTCCGTGGCACTGTGGCAACTCCAGAAGCCCCCCTGTGAACATAAGAAGCATGCTCACTTCCATGGATAGAGAACTAAAGAAACAGCCTTGGCTGAGGCTCAGCTCCAATGAAAGTAATAAGAGACATTAGCGTTCTGAATTTCATGCCTGCAATCATGAGAATATATTATACTAAAATTTCAAAAAAGTAAATATTGAAAGACACAATAAAACTATGGTAGTTGGTTGGCAATTCTGACATTGTAAAAAATACTCAGGTTCATCTACGTTAGTAGCTTAGAGCCCGTGCCACTGCATTTTTTCTGGATGTTGCTGTACTACGGATACACTTACACTAGAAAAATTAGTATCTTTGTGTTCTTCCTCCTGCGGATTATTCCAAAAGTAGTGCTCTTCAGTCCTGTCAGGTTAAAATGAGAAAATGTAAATTGTGATGTAAAATAGAAGATGGGCTTCATTAGAACTAATATTTGGTTACTGATCTTTTCAGGGCATCATAATGAAAATTATGTAAAGCAATTTATCAAGCGGACTTCTACTGCCTCACTGCGCCTCCAAGAGTAGTGGTGCAATATCAAGATGCAGAGTCATATTATTTTGTTAATTATTTGTATGCAGGAGAGTAACTGTATCTGCCTGACAGCTCCTGTGGTGGACACAGATGCAAATATTATATTGACATTCCTCCTGTCCTAGTCCACAGAAGAGGGTTTAGGAAAGGTGGATAAAAGCTCTGTAATAAAAATAACCAGTTGAAAATAACAGCATATTGTTTGCAGACTATTTTGTGTTCATCTGTGACAATCGCAGATCATTATTTGAGTCATGTATAACTACTTGACTTGCACATATCTCAGTCTTGGAAAATTGCAGTTCTTGCTCACTGATTTGTACAGTGCATTATTTAAAGACATCCCAAGGGTGGAGTCTCAAGTGGCTGAAACAGCAGATGGCACTGCAAGGAATGTTAGTTAGTAGCAGCCATTTTCATTAAATCCATTTAGCTATATTGTGAGAACAGGCAGTGTTCTTCTGTTAGCAGAAATATGCCTGTAATCAAGGCTGCTGACAGAATTGTCAGGTGCCTGGACAATATATAGGGAGGGCAACTCTAGGTTGCTGAAGGAAGGGGCTGTGGGGTCTAGCCTCCCCCAGCCAGCCCTTCAGTGCTGCTTGGCCTGCATCAACCTGGGCTCCAGTAGCAATTTAAAGGGTCCCTGGCTCTGGCCACTGCCAGCCTTTTGCACCCTGCCTATAATAGTAGATTGTGGTATTTTTAGTGGCTTGTACAAGGGGTCAGATTGTTTATCTGGACTTTTTCCCTTTCTGATTTTGCCATTGTGTAGAGACACTGCATATTTAATATTCAATTTGCCTGCTAGCAGTAACTTTTGTCAAAATAATTTTTCTTATGACATTAAAGAATGTGCTTGAATTTCACTGAAGGACTTCCTGGACTTCAAGGTCATTGTTTGCGATGCTCTTTTGTATCTTGCACAGTCTTTGAAGTCTCTTTAGAACACTAACTAATGATATCTTCCAAGTGTCACTCTGCTGAAGGGCAAAGAAAAGGAATCTCAATATATAAATTTTCTTTATAACTAATTTTCAAGCTTAGAAAATATTTATTATCTGAAGTTAAAAGGCACGTGTACACATAATTAAATATGAGCATATGTGGTTTTTATATACTCTTGTACACACGTCAGTAGAGTGCCTACTTTCTTCATTTTACCACGCTGTACTTTCAGTAACTTGTAACATCAATACCTGTAATGTATATTTCTTCTATATTGTAAAACACACCAAATCTTTCAGATTTTCAGTGTTTGATTGATACTTGATTTGATTTAAAATTATATTTTTTTGGTAGAACATCTTGTTCAGCATAGAGATCTGAGCTTTGTTTCGGTTTTCAGCTTCTGTCTTCTCATTTCCTTTTTGCAGCAATGAAGACACGAAGCTTCATTTTTCTGCCTTTTCTGTTTCTGAAGGAAAGATGGCAGACATTGTACAACATTCACTATATGCATGAGCTGAAGGGAAATGTACTGTATTCAGATTTTTTGATTTAGCATAAGCCTAAGCGTCTAGTTTCCAGGAGTGGACATACAAGTTTGTGTTTTGATGAAAGATTGGAGTATTTTCTTTGTGGTTATATCTTATGTTTGTTGGTATAATATTTATCTCTAGAAGATGTTGCTAGTGTCAATGCCTATTTAGAAAGCTTAAGAAATATATAGTAGGTGCATTAATTTTTTATTGATGTGCCCTGTAATGTATTCTCTTATGGGATTTAGAGAGATTTGATTCCTGGATCTGCCGCTGGTTCACTTTGTGACTTTAGGCAAGTCACTTAACTTGTCTGTGTTCATTTTTCCTATATGTAAAATGGGGGATATGCTTATCTCTGTGGGTAATATGAGACAGGAATAATTAATGTTTTCAAAGTGCTTTGAGATCTTTTGTTGAGATGTACAAAATGCTAATATCAGTAATGTTCTCTCCATTTCCTGTTTTCTTTTTAGAACTGGTGAACTCTGTATATAAAATCTAGTTCCTGTAATTGTAAGAATTTGAATCTGTATTTTTTGACTTGCAGAAGAGATTGTAGTTGCAGTAGTTATTTCACAACCCTTTTACACAGCTGCTCAAGGGTTAGACACAATGCAGTAGAACTTGTGTTTCCCTATGTTTCATCTGGAACCGTGAAAACTAAAATAACTTTTTTAAATGAAATGCTCATAAAATCATATGATTCCAAGAGCAGGGCTTAAAAATTAATACCAAATACCACAATGGTTGGCACACTGAGACTTAGAAGTAGCAGACCCCAAAGAACATACTGAATTAAACATGCTGAATATATGTAATAGATTAGTTCCATACAATCCTTTACATATTATTTTTTTCTTAACTCTTTCAATGTGTCGAACTGCAAAATATTATGCAAAGAATATTTAGCATATTGACAATGACCGTATAAACAAGGAGTTTCTTGCTTCTTTGTTTCTTCTACTGATCACTTCACAAAGAAGTTTGATTGAATTTTTTAAAAAGTGTTTGATCATTTTATGAAAGTTGGTAACATTCATAGTTATTTATGGTTTAAGAAAAGGGCAGTCTTTTATCATGATTCAGCACATAAACTGGTCTCTGCAAGGTTCAGGAGGTTTTTATCCCCCACATCTAACATTTTCAGTATTGATCAAGTGCAGTGGTCCCCAACCTTTTGTGGCTGCTGGGCGTCCGGGGGCGGGGCCACTCACGCGCCGTGCTTCTAGGGGTGGGATCACGCACGCGCCATACACCCAGGAGTGGGGGCCACCTACGTGCCCTGAGCCCAGGGCCGGCACCATGCATGTGCTGCGCGCCGGGGGTAGGGGCCACCCACGCGCCCTGAGCCCGGGCCGGCACCACACATGTGACGCGTGCCTGGGGGAGGGGCAGCCCACATTCCCTGGGCTGGCACCAAGCATGTACCGTGTGCCCGGGGCAGAGGCCGCCCACGTGCCCTGCGCCAGCACTGCGCACGTGTTGCGCGCCGGGGGTAGGGGCCGCCCACATGCCCTGAGCCCGGGGCTGGCAGAACGCATGTGCCGTGCGCCTGGGGCAGGAGCCGCCCCTGCGCCCGGGGCCAGCACCACGCATGTGCCGCGCGCTGGGGGGGGCAGCCCAGATGTTTCGGTGAGCGCACATAAATGCCCCGATTGGTGCCATGGCGCCCGCAGGCACCGCGTTGGGGTCCACTGATCAAGTGTATTATAAAGAATGGGAGAAAGGAGTTTAATTTTCCTTAGAAGTGTTGGGTATTGGCCAGTACTAGATGTTAGCGATAGAATTGATACATCTAATTCTGTTTGACAAATCCTGTGTTATGAAGTGGCAGCAGAATAGTATGCACATCCCTTAAATAACTTCATACCCATGGGAAAAACTGTGAAAATTTTATAACTGTACCACTGGCCTCCTAATGCATATATGGGCTTTCTGTAAACAAAGGCCAGTGGCTTGTTTGGAACCACCACTTTGCTGATGTAATAGATAGAGAAGGCTGCAGCTCTTTGTCATTCCCTGGCCATTAACATTTTCATTTTCACTATTTTTCCTGTTTGTCTACTGCATGGGCTTCATTTAGCAGGTTCTTTCCCTTGCTGCTGCTCAGATTGCTTTATATTTTCCCCTCCTATTCCCCTAAGAGGAAAAAAAGGCAACAGGAAAATTCACATGATGAAAATGATGGGGCATTTACAATTCTTCTTCTTGCTTAGTTGCCAAATGCTGTTTAATTCCTGATGGAGGAAATTCTCGTTATTCATGCAGTGACACTTTGTAGTCCCTGCAGACAGAAAAGTCCCAGAGCACAAGGCTTTCAGTATTTTCTTAACAATTTGTTACACTAAACCTAACAGTGATTTTATATTTTCCATGTTATGTTTGTTTTCTTTACACATGCAAGAAAATATTTTTAGGGGCTGAGTTTCAGAATCCTGTCATGGGCATCTTCTATGTTGCAAGAGGGGAAGACCTCAGGAAAGCTGAATGTCTGCTATGAGTTTGCAACATTCACAGCTGAAACTTTCATGCTGATCACATTTTTAAAAAGGGGGAATGTTCTTATACAAACTTTAGCTAGTTTCACATTTCCTTTCCATTTCTTTTTGTTGTTTTCACTCAGTCTGCTGTTTAATCTTTGATTACAGGCCACTAAAGAAGTAATAGAACGAGAGGCCCCAGGGATGGCCCTGGCAATGCTGATGGGATCACTTAATGTTACTCCTCTGGGCATGCTCTCTAGGTAAGAATGTTACCAACAAAATACAGAGTGAACTATTTCCCTAGAAATATTCAAGGTGGTGGAATGACTGCAGAGAAACGAACTGATGCTTGACACATTTCTTAAGAATGGGGGTCTCAATCCCAGATAGGTGGCCAAATTCACAATTCCAGATAGGTAGTTGCTTTCTGCCTCTTTAAATTTCCCCGCAGTTTCTACTAGATAATCTATCCTCCAGTACATCCTGTCCCAAATTGTGTTAAACAGCAGCTTGATTCCAACCCAATGCAGTTACAATTCACTAATGAGCACTTCCTTTAGTATGATAAATGTAAGGGTAATATTTTGATGATACAATCTGTTCCAGCATAATAAGCAAAGGGCGTCTGTATGAAAATATAGAAAGTTAAAAGTGGCACAGTCACATGTGCTTAGTTTTTACTACTGAACTTAGTTTTAACTGTTGAATTTTGGAATTTACTATCTGATGCTTGATTTTCTTGTCCCCATTGGTGTTTTCCTTCAAACAACTACTTCTCCCCCAATCCTATGTTTCTTTTTAGGGTAGATATGCAAACATGGGTTTTCCCATTGTTCTCTTGTGGTCCTCAGCATCGTGATAGATCTTTTTCTATAATGACAGAGCTTTCGTAGAATCAATAAACTTTTGTTAATTAATATGTGATTGCGTTTATATGTCTGAAACACCAAAGCAAAAATATTTTAAGATAACTCAGAAAGAATGACTACTATGGTTTTTATTTTATTTAATTCTCAATTACATTGATGGATAAAACAAGTATTGTAACTGTGAATAATAAAGTGATTTTAAAATCTGAGGATAATTCTTACTCAGATGCCTGAAATTGTGAGGGCCCAAGTGATCTGACAGTTCGCATTTAAACCTTTATCCCATTGTGGCTGTCTGAAAAGCATTATTAGATTCTGTCCAGTGTACCCAATATTTTCATTTCTTTATCTGATATGCTCTTCTATACTGTTGTGTATATTTGTAGAATGTAGGCAGAAAGAATTTGCTGCTTTTCTGTAGCACATACAGAATGCAGTGGACGAAGGGGATAATTTAGCTCCTTTGTCAGATCTGACCACTAACGTGAGATTGCAGTGGAGATCACTTTGCACAGCTGATTAGGCTTTGATGTGTCATCTGGACAACGTGGCTAAAACTAAGGATATAATGCTCAATGTTCATTACAGAGAATGCATCATACTGTCCTATCTTCTGTGTACATAGAATGGAAAAGGAGACAATGTCCCTTAACATCATCCATCCCTCGGTGTCTCAAAGATATTGTACTTCATTGTGTAAAAGAGTTTACCAGTTCTCTTTTCTCTTGCCAATTCCAGCTTCTCCCCCTCAATTCAAGCACTAAATACAGAAATTGACAGACAAATAGGAAACTGGCTGGGACATTAATCTTTCAAGTATTTCAAATTATGTCGAAAAATAGATGTATTATAAAGGCCTTTGAAATTAGACCTTTTCTGAAACATTAATAGAACGTTCATACAGCTGGTACACTTCTATACTTTCCCTTCCTCTAACTTTGGTTTGGTTGGTGATACTGGTTACAGGCACTGATGCCACCAACCTGCCAAAAGGCACACCAACCTTTGATGGCAGCAAATGACTTCTCTTAGTCCTTCTAGTTCCCAGCTACATGATGAACTCCAGGCCATGTATTCTATCAAGTCTCAGGAAATCCTAAGTGCTACAGACAATTGTATTAGTGATTCAGTAGGTAATTTTCTTGTGTGTTAATGCTACACAAAAGCTCCAGCATTATTCTATGAAACACTGTGTTGTTAAGATGCCATCTTTTGAACAAGACATGAAGTCAAGAGGCTCATTATTTTTGTAAATAATTACATGGCACTTTTCTATAACTGATTAACTTCATGTTCTGGCTAATTCAAAATAATTCTGTTTCATTCCAACTGGCTGTAGTATTATTCTTTATGTTCTTTTATAAGCTATTGTGTTATGGTTAAGTGGCTTCTGTAGTCCACCTAGATTTGACTGCATTTACATAACATACAAAATTATTTCTGTTTAGAACACTTTGAATTGCCATATAAATGTAAGGTATGATTATTATGTTGTAGTTGTCTCATGGAAAAGATTAGTAGAATTAATTCTTTTTTTTCCATATCCATACATGAGGACCATAGTAAGCTGCCAAGTAGAAGATCCATGCGTAACTTGCTGTTTCTGTGTAAAAGTCTACCACTGAAGCTTCTCATTTTATAGGCCTACCTTCAGTTGTTTAATTGCATATTTAAATAAACTATTAGCAGCTCTTGATGTTCTATTTCAAGTCTTGCAGTTTTGTTTTTCACTAATCTCTTTTTCCTGAAATCATAAACTATATGAGAATCTTAGCTTTTATTTTTAAAAGTAAAAATTTGAAACTGTGCACTGAATTTTACAAGCCCCTGGACTAATGTCAATATAGGAATTATATTCTTTGTTTAAAATTACTAAGGATACATGGGATTGTTAAGACTGTTAATTTTAAAAATCAAGGTTATTTTCTATAATGTGATGTATTCTCTCTTTGGCTCTGCTTGGATTGTGAAACTATTTAATTTTACTTTGGATCTAGTCAGTTTCACTCTCTGATTCTCATGCCCTACCATTATTGGGTTTGGTTCTCCAGCACACTATAAGGAATGTTGAAATCCAAAAATATTTTTCATAAAATGTTTTATGCTGAGATCATATTACTTGTAGTCATATTAGATTTTGCAGAGTTTCCCCCCTGAAATTCATCTACAGTTTTCTGTTAATATTGCTTTACAGAAAAAACCCACACCCTGTTCTTTTAACATAAAGGTGCCCAATTTCAGATGCCTTGTGTCAGTTCTAGGGTTAGTCCCCTCCGTGGTTTGCTGAAGGGCATCCCTGTGGGTATCAGGCCTCCAGTCATCACCTCAGTGGCTCAGAACCCTCATCTCTCTCCTTCCAAATCAAGGATTTAGTCTTGAAGCCCCTTGCCATTCAGTGTGCTCTTCCCATTGTTTTAGTCTAGAATCTTCCATTCTGCTATCTCCAAGGGTCTATGGCCATTTTTACTTCAACTCTTCCAACAGGAATTTTCTGTCTTAGTAACAGTATTGTATACCTCCCTCTGATCTTGGAAGGTTGGCACAGAGCAACATAGACATAATTCTAGCTTGGGCTTAGGGCGCTAGAAAGAGCTCCTTTTCCAGCAAGAAGTTCTCAAACCATTGTCAGCTCTGATCAAAGCCTTCTCTCAGAATTGCTTAGGTATCAAAGATAGAGTGTGAGCTCTGGATTCATGTTCCCTGGTACCATCAACTCTGTTACTGTCCACAAAACCACTGAGATTGACATCTGCTGTTTTGCGCTGGGACTCAGCCTCCACCTCTGTACTGCCACACATTGAGGCTCAGTCACCAGTGTCAGTATCAATGGTGCCATAAGCATGTGTTGTGTTGCGGCTATAGATCTCCTGTGCTTGTCAGTAATTTAGCTGGGGAAAAGATATACTTAACGTCTAGATTATAGTTGAGAATAGCCAATCACTAAGCATTATTGGCTAGATACATACACTGTTCCCAGTCCCCACTACTCTTGACTTCTCATCCTACTCCCAGTCTCTTTGCTCAAGCAATCACAATTCTCCCCACCATGATTTTTTTGTTTCTGTTTTTTTTGTTCTCATTCTCCACCAGCTAGTCCCTGACCTCCATGGCTCTCATCTGGTTTGTCTCTCCCTTCCCTACAGCTTCTAATCCATCCCTGGGACTGTTTTTTTTTTTTCTTCACCTATCCCTTTCCTCTATCACTAGAAGATTCTAATCCAAGTATCAGGGCATCTCCTCTTGAGTGTGTCTCTCTTTTGGGGGATAGGGTGTGGTGGACAATTTGCTATTTTCTCATGCAACTGAAGGTAGCAAGTATCCTACTGCTACAGTTCAAATGTGCTTCATTAGGGGATATTACTTACAAATTACCCCCAAACAACCAAGAATCCATACAAATTTGGTGTGCTTCGAAGTTGCCAACTATCACAATATTTTTGTGGTCCTGCAATTTTGGAGCACTTTTAATCATTTTTCACGCTCTCACTAGAAGTTTTGAGCAGCTCAGGACTTCAGGCTGAGCAGATGTCCAGTTTTGGCTTCACTAACTAGAAGCGACACTTGGCAGCCTAAACTTTAAGCTAAAGGATGCTGTTCCAGTTCTCACCAATACAGTCCACTACAGTTCTTGGTGCCTGCTTCTTTAGTCGGCTTTAGAACTTGAAAGGTTGGCATTGTTGATCATCTGACTTTTAATGTTGAAATTATTTAAATAATAATTAAAGAATCATGAAATTGAGGTTGTAGAAACATGTATGCGCACTAAAGGAATGAGACTACAACAATTTAAATTTCCTACATGATATGGAGTTTTGATATACATTGTATCCCTCTCGGGCCTTGCCAGGTTGTGATGTATAGCTTATTGTTTGGAAGCCCTCTAAAACCTACTGCTGTTGTAGACCCTTCCTAAGATACCAGGAACTCTTCCTTAACAGTGAAGACAGATATCACGGGGGAAGTAAATATAAGAAAATTCTATTGTAAAAGCCCAGTTTTAACCAAACAGTAGCAGCTACATTTTTTTGTCTCTTTCTTTCTCTCTTTCCAATATTATATATGAAAACAAAAAGTTCTGGCTCAACATATGGCATGAATTTTAAATAGTTGCATAAACTAGCAGTAATGCTTTTGAACTAGCAAATTTTTCACGTGCAAACTAATCAAATTACAGGCAAGGACATGTTGTCCCTTGCAAAGCAGTGTAAATTGTAACTTTTTCATTTGCACCAGTTCAAACCCTGCCTCTCCTGCACTGTGTCTCATGGGTCTCTTTATCCTGGAGGGTCTTCAGTGGTGTCTCCTTCCCCTCCCATTCCAGGCTGAAAGGGGCATATTCAAATATGCTTCTTCCCTTTCTGCTCCTTCCTAGGGTTGGGGTAGCAGGAAGGAACAGGGGAGCTCTCCTGTCCCAATTGCTTGTAGGAGGGAATGGAGAGAGGAGGGAACAAAGCCTCCTTGAGCTATATGGCTCTTTAGCTCTCTTGTCCCCTCTCCCTTGCTGTGAAAATGGCTTTGGGCTGCTCAGGGGGAGGAAAGGGAAGGAAGGAGAAGAAATCCAGGGGATGAGGAGCAGTTGTTCTGATTTGGTGTTTTGCCTCAGAGGTGAGCAGGTGGCACAGACAATCAGAGTACTCGTATTCTATAGTTCATTGGTTCTCAACCAATTTATCACTATAGGCTATTTATGCAGTTCTCTATGTATTGTGAGCTGCATCCACATAATATATATATACAACCTTTATGACCCTGAGGTCATATGGACCACAAATGTGATTGGGCAGCAGGTTGAGAATCACTGCTCAAGGAGATCTGGATTTTCTCGCTTACTTTAAGACTGGCTTCACTCCAGTCTTAAGTGGAGCACTTGGGCTGTTGCTTAGGAGAGATTCTAGTGCTGCCCAGCTGATTAACAGAGCGCCCACAGTTAAGTTGTGGTTTCTACTGTTGTTGTTCCAGTCCCATCCATGTTACGCATGAAAAAATGCAGGAGTTGGCAATGCTGTAATTTTAAATGCACAATGTAATCTTCATTTTTCATGCAGTGCCATTTCCTGTGACAGACCAGGGAGGAAAAAGGGACAAGGGAGGAAACATAATCATCTCTAGTTATTGAACATGCAGTTCACATTGTCAAGTGCACAATTTGGCATTTTCATCTTTGCAAGGTATCTAGTAACTCAGTTCCCTTGCAAGAAATTTCTAAACTGAGCAATCATTGTACTTGAAATATGCTAATTCAAGAGGTATTACAGAGATGGTAAGAAACAACACATTTGAACTTCACATTTGAAGGCAAGACTTGTGTTCTCTGTGGCTCAAGTTATCAGTGATATGAAAGGGTCATTTTTAGACTTTGAAAAGCCTCTGTGACCTTTAATGCTGAATATTTTGACATCTGTCACTAGGAAATTTGTAATCCTGCCAGAAAAATGCAGTACAATCTCTAAGTACCATTAAGACTGTGAATTATTTATGTAGGAAGAAAGCCGGGGAAATTCCCTCCCTTACAAAATTCCTTCCCTTACAAACCAGATATGGTCCTAGAATCTAAAAGTTCAGTAATTTCCCAGCAAGAAACACATTTTTCCCTTCCTCTTTTTCTGTGGTTTGCCTTTTCATTTACTTGTAATTTGACGCCTTACTTACATCTGTGTGTACTAACTCCCACAACACACAGAATTTTTTCTTAAAATGTGTTCAGTTCTCTGTATCAGATTGGGAGGTACTCTTCTCACTCCATGGCAGCATCTAACAATTGTATTCTTAAAAATATATTTTACTAAAAAGAGCAGGCAAACTCCTCCTTTTGGCCCTGATTCAAGAAAATATCCATATTCAGAACAACACATAAGAGCTATCCTGATTCAGAATTACAGTAGTGATTATATAAGGACAAGGCCTCTGAAGGGGGCGGCTAAACTGCCCCAGCGCCCAGTGATACAAGAAGGCCCAGAGCTCCTGGCCACCGTTGCTGCTACTGCAGCAGCCAGAGCCTCAGGCCATTTAAATTGCTGCTGGAGCACCACACAGTGCTCTACGGGTGGCACTGAGGGCTGCCTAGCCCAAGACCCACTCCTTCTGCCCTGGAGACAAGCCTGTAGGCAGAGTGTGCTCAGAGAAGAAGCCAGCAGGTGGGGTGCATGCTCCTGCCTCCCCACCACTACCAGAGAGAAGCTCGTGGCCATCCCTCTACCCCTGTCCTGAGCTCCTCACTCCCTCCTTTGAGCTCCCCCTTCTCCCAACCCCCCTGCCCTGACTTCTTCACACACCCCTGCTTTGCGCCCATCCTCATCCCCCATCTCTGACTCCCACACCCTCCAAACCCTCAGCTTCCTGCCCTGAGCTTCCCACATTCCCAAGGACCTGCCCTGACTCCTGCCTCCCCTCACCACCACCACCACCAGCCCCCTGCCTTACAGGACCTGGGCAACACTGGGTAAGTCTTCCAGTCAGTCAGTAAAATTCACCTACTATTTTTTTTACGAGTTGGCTTTTGCTATTTTCATGTTCTTTTGTCTTTGTTTTCTGCAGTCTTTCTTGCAAAATAATTTTGCTCTACTATGGCACACTCTGATACGGCAACATCCATAGTCCAGCATGATTTTAGTTAACTGAATGTTCACTTATCATGGCTGTGGCTAAGTTTCCTATGATCCCATTAAAGTTTATTTACAGCCACCAGTCCTGGTTCTCAGTGTTCTGTGCTGTTTTTTGTCCCTAAGTATCTTCCTGGAGCCCAGTAAGCAGTAGAAGTGTTCGCAATGCTGCTAGACAATATTGACCTCCCATGGTTCTGCAAATTCTGATTCAGCACTGATTGAGTCCCAAGGATGTTGATCTAGAGAGGTTCAACCTGTAGTTTGGATTTCTGTAGAAAGTGAATTTTAGGTTCACACCATTGAACACCCACTTAGATTTACTTTTTGAAAGCATTTATACCAAAATTCAATTTTTCAGTTAGAAAAGAGAAACAATACTATATGGCTTATATGACCAATCACAAGCCTGCTGTGTACCTGAAAAAATAATATTTTGCACATCAAGAAATATTATAAATGTAATTTGTAAACAATATAATCTAAAATTAGAGAATACTAGGAGGTTTACCTGACATTGCTTGGGTCCTTAACCCAAATAAGTTTTGTTTCTCTTCATTTAAATCATTGTTGTGTGGTGGGGCTGAGGATGAAGGGTGGAGTATTCAGGCTTCCTAGGGGTGAGGACAATCCCAGCCCTCTCTCATCGCAGCAGCTTGGGCCAGGTGAGAATCGCCTGTCCGTGGCTGCTGCAGTTGCAGATGCAAGTCAGAAGGTCTGCATAGTGCACTATAAATGCATTAGCACAATTGTGAGACTCAGATCCAGCAATTATAAACCCAGATTTTAAAATGCAGTGTGAATTCTTAAGCATGGGCTTGAAAATACCAAATCCACAGTGCTGGTACCACAGACCCAGGATTAGAATGCTGTGTAAGATATACCCAATGTGGCCTAGGAATATAAACATAGTATATATGAGATGTATCATATTTTGTATTGTATAGTAGAGATGTTGTCTGAGTAACTGGATTGAGAGCTGTATCTGGGCTGATTCCAATGTCCTGAAACCAACTCCTGCTTTGTCTTTTTGTAAATCACTTAAAAACTCTTCTCTTTTTTCCCCATCTGTAAAATGGAGATATAGTATAGCCTATTGTGCTAGAAGGAATAAATGGTTAAAGTAGTGAAGCTCTTTGAAAATGTGAAGTCATCTACATAACTGCTTGGCAATAGCATTATTATTCATTTTTTGATCTTGCATGCTGATGAGATAAACTCTCATCTCAAATTCTCTGCTACAAATTATCACTTCATCTTGGCCTTTTCACTGCAGTATGCACCTCTGGGGAGTGCAAGGCAGACTCATGGGAAGAATAAGAGTTGAAAATTGCCCTTTAGGTTTGAAATATGATACCATTCTATCCAGGTTGCTGTATTACCTGGCATCCTGATTACATTTTTGAATATGAGAATTATTACTTCCTTTTGTTATTTTCTTATGCTGTAATAAAAATACAGTAGGACAAGTGGAAGTTGGAGTGACCTATTTTTATATTTAGCTCCTAGTAAAAATAATTTTCTGGCACTATTACTCAGGTTGTACACAAACCAAAGAGGTTGAGCAAATACCAAGTGGGCCAGATCCTTATTTGATGTAGACAAACAGTAAAGTTAATTGTACTATGCAGATTTATGCCAGATAGGGCTATAGCCCAATCAGTGTCTTTATATTACAGTGATTAAATGTGGAAATTTGATTGGCTACCTTACCTAATGCTGCATCTGGTAATGTTTCTTATGAGCACTTCTCGCCCCCTGACCTAATTCAACCCTTCCATCAGAATGTGACAACCAGGCATTTTGAGAGCGTGCAAACTGACAAGCAGTGGTGACTAGTTATAAGTTCCCTTTCCTGCTGGGGTTTTCCCATTAAAGACACACTTGTATATATTTACCTCTGTTTCTCTTTCTTTTCAGACCTGTATGTGGAATCAGAGGAAAAACTCTCATAATTAACCTGCCAGGCAGCAAGAAAGGGTCACAGGTAAGAAATGTTCATGTTGAGTCTAATTTTAGAGCTTGCTGGCATCCTATAAAAAACACTTCATATTACTTGACATGACAGAAAAATTAGCTACACAACCAATTTTTTAAAAATCCATGGAGATATGTGTCAGAATAGCCAAAAAGCAGGATCAAGCACGTTGTTGTCTGCAACTACAAGAGACTTCATTCTGATTCTCAAGGAGAAATAAGAGCTCTAGCTCAGTCTTATGTATGAAAAATTCCTTTGTTTCTTACTACCAGTTTTGGTCAGGATGGGGGAGAGGCAGGGGAGGGAAGAAGGCAGGGGGTAGAGGGCAACGATTTTAAGCAATTATGAAGATATATATATTCAAAAAAAATCATTTCCTTTCATTACTGAATTTCAGAGTTATTACAGTTGATAGGATTCTAAAACTCAGTTACTTTTTACCCTTCATATACTTTTTTTTTATTTCACTAAGTATGGACAGTGAAATTAGTTTGGTCAGTTTTCTATTTTAAGTTGTTTTCATTTCCTGATTCTAATACACTATCTTAATTATGTTACATATTATAGTTTCTATCACAGCAGTGAAAGATTCACATAAAAATAAGAATTTTACCCCATATTTACTACTGTTTAAACAGAAAATTTAAAAAATCAGTATTAATAAACTTGAAAAAGTTTTTAAATTGTATGGGTGTACACATGCCACCAGCACGATTATTGGAAGACTTTTCCCTAGTGGTGCCCATTAGGTCAACTGTAGCGCCCCCTGTGGTGTGCCTCACAGTGTTGCATATATATCCCTGCCGGCCTCACCCCTGATTCCGTTCCTTCTTTACACGAGTGACAGATGTTGGAGCTTCTGACTTCTTGTCTTTTTTGTGTAGATTTGCTGTCAATTAGTTAGATAGCTAGTGTTTCTGCATGTGAGATGGAGCATGTAGTAGTCCCAAGGATTAAACAACGTGTTAAGTGCAGGAAGCATATGACTACAGGTGGCCTGCATGCTGAATGTTTGCAATGTTTTGGAGAAGAATATCTTCAAGATTGGTGTAACATCTTCAGGAGTTTCAAGCCCCATACTATACAAGAGAGGTCAGAGACGTAAATTGCTGCTACTGAAGTCAGCACTTGACCCAATGACACAGCTTCCACTCCCTCGGTGCATAACATGCTGGCCTTGGTACAGGATACTTCAGCACCGAGTCAAGAGGTGTGCCAGGTCTATTGGTACCAATTCACTGTGCATTAGATGATCTCATTGAAATGGCACCATTCCCATTCACTGGTGCCTAAGAAGAAGACAACCAACCAAGAATGCTCTCTCTCCAGGAGGCCAACTTAGGACTTGGAGGCTGTCTGCATGGCCAAGTCAGGCATGTTGGCCCCAGCACTGTTCACTCCGGCACCAAGGACAGGGGCCCTCAAGTCCGGTGTCAGTTGATTCTCCAGAGCCTGTGGTGGTGGTGAAGGAAGACCCGGACTTGCCCTCTACACCTGACATCTTTGAGTTCTGTGCGGTACCTCATTGAGTTTATGGCGCCGACCTTGATGACAGTTGAGCAGCCCTACCATCTGCTAGTGACCCTTCTGTCAATTTTGTCCTATATGTCCTGCAGTTCTCAGTACAAACACCACTTTTGGAACCGTTCTCGGCACTAAGACTCTTTGCCGGTGCCAGCCCAGACTTGGCAGCCTCAGTGGCAGGTGCCCATTCAGTGGCCCTTCCGGATTCTCTGGGCATACCACCAGAGCCAAGGACAGGTCCTATCTTCCAGGGCTGTCCTGGTGGCACCGTCAGTCTGAGCAGCACTGTTGGTGGCAGCTTTGATGCCACCCCCCTCCTCTGGAGCCAGAGGCACAGTCTGGGCCAGCCCAGACTTGGCAGCCTCAGTGGCAGGTGCCCATTGAGAACTCCAATGGTGTTCTCACCTGCACCAAACCAGCAGGACTTGCTATAGGGGGGAGAAGTGGTGGAGGACCATCTGCCTCAGATGAGGTGGTGGTGGGCATGTCCCTGTCCCCACCTTCAATGGACTCTTGTGCCCACCAGCACTTTTGTCAGTGGGTGACCCAAAACCTTAGCTTCCAGGCAGAGGAGGTAGTGGAAGAGGCGGACCCCATTTTGTATGTCCTGTTGCCTGTGGATTCAGCAAAGGTCGCCCTTCCTGTTATTAGGACCATCCAGACAACCATCAAGGTCTTGTGGCAGATATCCGCATCCATTGCTCCCGTGGCCAAGGGGATGGAGAAGGTGATACTTTTGTGCAGCAATGGGGCTATGGTGCCTCTTCCCCACCCCTAGCCAGGATCTCTGGTGGTGGATGCTATGAACCACAGCGGCAGCTGAGACCCACCCCCAGAAACAAGGAGGCTAAAGTACTAGACCTGTTTGGGTGTAAGGTGTATTCCACTGGGGACATCCAGCTCAGGGTATTATACCAACAGGCGCTTCTTAGCTGATATAACTTCAATTACTGGAATGCTCTTTCAAAATTCCAGGAGGTCCTGCCCTTGTAGGCAAGACAGGAATTTACAGCAGAGGTACAGGAGGGACGCACAGTGTCTAAGATGGCAGTGCAGGGGGCCCTGGATTCAGTGGACTCGTCAGCCTGTACTCTGGTTATGGGGATTGCCATGAGGCATAATTCACAGTTGGAGGTGCCTGGCCTCCTACCTGAGTCCTTTGGTGGCTCAGGCATATTTGTGGAGAAAATGAACTCGCATCTCCACAGTTTGAAGGACTCCAGGGTCACCCTTAAATCCTTGAGGATCCATATGCCTGCCCCACAACACAGACACTTTAGGTTGCAGCAGCCTAACCAGTTTTTCCCTAGTCCTCCCAAGCAAGACCAAGGATGCCATAGGGATCGGCACAATAACAGGAGGGGACCTCCTCAGTCCTCTTCCAATCAATGCCAGGGCAGTTCTAAAACAAAAGGAAAAACTAACAAGATGGTTTAATAGGTGATGAGTTTTCGTGGGCAGGACCCACTTCCTCAGATCATATTCTGGAAGAGAATTGGCTTGACCATATATACCAAAGGAATACTAGGGCACTTCTAATCCCCGGGGCCTAAGTCCCAATTTTGAGGGTATGCTTGAGGACAGAGTACCAGAACCAGTTCCAGATCCTGTCCCGCCCTTTGGGAACCGTTTGTCCCACTTCTACCATGCATGGTTGCAGATCGCCTCAGACAGGTGCGTCCTGAGCACAGTAGAAGTGGGATACTCTCTACTTCCATTCCCTCTCTTCCTTCCAACCCCCTTCCTTTCCATCTTCAGAGACCCTTCTCATGGGCACTTGTGACTGGGTACCCCCGTCCCTGGGTCCTCCTGCGGACAACCCCGAGAGCTTCATCTCAAATTCTCTGCTACAAATTATCACTTCATCTTGGCCTTTTCACTGCAGTATGCACCTCTGGGGAGTGCAAGGCAGACTCATGGGAAGAATAAGAGTTGAAAATTGCCCTTTAGGTTTGAAATATGATACCATTCTATCCAGGTTGCTGTATTACCTGGCATCCTGATTACATTTTTGAATATGAGAATTATTACTTCCTTTTGTTATTTTCTTATGCTGTAATAAAAATACAGTAGGACAAGTGGAAGTTGGAGTGACCTATTTTTATATTTAGCTCCTAGTAAAAATAATTTTCTGGCACTATTACTCAGGTTGTACACAAACCAAAGAGGTTGAGCAAATACCAAGTGGGCCAGATCCTTATTTGATGTAGACAAACAGTAAAGTTAATTGTACTATGCAGATTTATGCCAGATAGGGCTATAGCCCAATCAGTGTCTTTATATTACAGTGATTAAATGTGGAAATTTGATTGGCTACCTTACCTAATGCTGCATCTGGTAATGTTTCTTATGAGCACTTCTCGCCCCCTGACCTAATTCAACCCTTCCATCAGAATGTGACAACCAGGCATTTTGAGAGCGTGCAAACTGACAAGCAGTGGTGACTAGTTATAAGTTCCCTTTCCTGCTGGGGTTTTCCCATTAAAGACACACTTGTATATATTTACCTCTGTTTCTCTTTCTTTTCAGACCTGTATGTGGAATCAGAGGAAAAACTCTCATAATTAACCTGCCAGGCAGCAAGAAAGGGTCACAGGTAAGAAATGTTCATGTTGAGTCTAATTTTAGAGCTTGCTGGCATCCTATAAAAAACACTTCATATTACTTGACATGACAGAAAAATTAGCTACACAACCAATTTTTTAAAAATCCATGGAGATATGTGTCAGAATAGCCAAAAAGCAGGATCAAGCACGTTGTTGTCTGCAACTACAAGAGACTTCATTCTGATTCTCAAGGAGAAATAAGAGCTCTAGCTCAGTCTTATGTATGAAAAATTCCTTTGTTTCTTACTACCAGTTTTGGTCAGGATGGGGGAGAGGCAGGGGAGGGAAGAAGGCAGGGGGTAGAGGGCAACGATTTTAAGCAATTATGAAGATATATATATTCAAAAAAAATCATTTCCTTTCATTACTGAATTTCAGAGTTATTACAGTTGATAGGATTCTAAAACTCAGTTACTTTTTACCCTTCATATACTTTTTTTTTATTTCACTAAGTATGGACAGTGAAATTAGTTTGGTCAGTTTTCTATTTTAAGTTGTTTTCATTTCCTGATTCTAATACACTATCTTAATTATGTTACATATTATAGTTTCTATCACAGCAGTGAAAGATTCACATAAAAATAAGAATTTTACCCCATATTTACTACTGTTTAAACAGAAAATTTAAAAAATCAGTATTAATAAACTTGAAAAAGTTTTTAAATTGTATGGGTGTACACATGCCACCAGCACGATTATTGGAAGACTTTTCCCTAGTGGTGCCCATTAGGTCAACTGTAGCGCCCCCTGTGGTGTGCCTCACAGTGTTGCATATATATCCCTGCCGGCCTCACCCCTGATTCCGTTCCTTCTTTACACGAGTGACAGATGTTGGAGCTTCTGACTTCTTGTCTTTTTTGTGTAGATTTGCTGTCAATT